ATATTGGGTTATTAATAGTAACTCCAATATCCTGTATCTGTCCTGTGATGTGAACTAGATTATCTGCCTTAACGATCTTTGGTAAACAACAGTTGCTTGATTCATGTCAGATTTACAATGGTTGTTTATCATGGGGCCATGCAGGTCTACATTTCTAAGTGTTTAAACTGTTCTACCTATGGGCCCAGTCTATGTGCCAGTCTACTTAATGTTGTGTATGTCCCAATATATTGTACTTATTCTACCAATGGGCCCAGTCTATGTGCCAGTCTACTTAATGTAGTGTATGTACCAATGTGTTGTACTTATTCTACCAATGGGCCAAGTCTATGTGCCAGTCTACTTAATGTAGTGTATGTACCAATGTGTTGTACTTATTCTATCAATGGGCCAAGTCTATGTGCCAGTGTACTAAATGAAGTGTATGTCCCAATATGTTGTACTTATTCTACCAATGGGCTCAGTCTATGTGCCAGGCTACTAAATGAAGTGTATGTACCAATGTGTTGTACTTATTCTATCAATGGGCCAAGTCTATGTGCCAGTGTAGTAAATGAAGTGTATGTCCCAATATGTTGTACTTATTCTACCAATGGGCTCCGTCTATGTGCCAGTCTACTAAATGAATGGGCCCAATCTATGTGCCAGTCTACTAAATGAAGTGTATATGTCCCAATATGTTGTACTTATTCTACCAATGGGCCCAGTCTATGTGCCAGTCTACTTAATGTAGTGTATGTACCAATGTGTTGTACTTATTCTACCAATGGGCTCAGTCTATGTGCCAGTCTACTAAATGAATGGGCCAAGTCTATGTGCCAGTCTACTAAATGAAGTGTATGTACCAATGTGTTGTACTTATTCTACCAATGGGCTCAGTCTATGTGCCAGTCTACTAAATGAATGGGCCCAATCTATGTGCCAGTCTACTAAATGAAGTGTATATGTCCCAATATGTTGTACTTATTCTACCAATGGGCCCAGTCTATATGCCATTCTACTAAATGAATGGGCCCAATCTATGTGCCAGTCTACTAAATGAAGTGAATATGTCCCAATATGTTGTACTTATTCTACCAATGGGTTCAGTCTATGTGCCAGTCTACTAAATGAATGGGCCAAGTCTATGTGCCAGTCTACTAAATGAAGTGTATCTGTCCCAATATGTTGTACTTATTCTACCAATGGGTTCAGTCTATGTGCCAGTCTACTAAATGAATGGCCCAGTCTATGTGCCAGTCTACTAAATGAAGTGTATCTGTCCCAATATGTTGTACTTATTCTACCAATGGGCCCAGTCTATGTGCCAATATGTTGTACTTATCCTACCAATATTGGGCCAGGCTGCAGTCTATATTTTACCAATTGGCTTGGCTGCCTATGTCCCAAACTGTAGGTAATTATTCATTCAAGTGTCTTTTTGAATTATTGTTTTCTTTTTGTTTCAATGTACATGAAAATCCTATGTTCAAATATCACTTCCTAGATAAAAACAATAATACTGTCAACAGACAGTTCCAAAACTGGTCATCAATTACATCCTCCTTATACCTGGTACTGAATAATTGATGTTGTGCAGAGTTCTTGTTTGTGACCTGCCTCAATATAACAATTAAATAATTAAATATAACAATTAAGAGTATATGTGTCCGGCTATGTTCTGTCTGTAGTCCAGCTTTGTATAGCTAGGTATATGATATAATTATGTCACATATAGCTATAGGTTCCTTGCTGTACAATTGGATTTGTTCACTTGAGATCAAAATTGTGATCACGTTTAAATCTATAAATAGATTCCACCCTTAAGGCTGGTCATGTGTTCATCTCTCCTGGTCTACTATCAATAGAAACTTGATTTAATGTACATGTGGTCATCTATTTATCCACAATAATATCAACCTAGAAATAAAGTGAAGAATACTGAAGATATGTACCGGGTCCCTGTAAGGAAGAACGGTGTGTATAGGACAGGGCAGGAGATACGGGATGTATGAGAATTCCAAGGGAGGTGTACGGTAATTTCATAGAAGACTAATGCTTGTTATAATATTGTATTGACTACAACGTAAAGATGTAATAATACAATAGTATATTCCAATAGAATTATTCCTTCAAATTTTCATAAATATCGTGGCAAGACGGATATATGTACTTTATATGTGAATCAAAATTATTTTTAACATATTTTTATATCTGGTCAAGATAGCTAATATATTATGATATTTTAACAGGGGTCATTATTTTTTCATGGAGTCAAACCGGGGACCTCTGACTTACTAGTCTTACGCTCTACCGAATGAGCTAAAGAGAAATTATCCCTAGCCAAGTCGGTAGGAATTCAAAGCAGCTATTATTTTACCAGGGTAACAATATGGTGTGTTGTCCATGAGTCTGTTAACTTTTAGTCTACATACATGTATGTATCACTAGAACAGCTTAAGGGAGTTGGACACAGTGTACACCATGATAACAGGACTAGGTTGATTGAATTTTATATTTAGAAAGGGTGAGACTTCCCTGGAGATAGAGGAGTAGACTGCTTAGCCTTATAAGTTACAAGAAGTACAGTTTTATAAAACCATACTTCTTCAATATATACGAGCCCTAGATCGTAACATATATGGGGTGTTCTGCTGAATCTGTGGAGGTATATATATATATTATGGTTATCTTATATTATGAAATGATGTTTTATGTGCAGGATTATTATATCTGATATGGAAGAATGCATCTAATATGGTAGAAAGGCATCTAACATGCAATGTATATACAATGGAATGAAATCTTATCAGGGGAACAATTTCATATCTACCCTGTAGATTATTTAAGCCCATAGACAAATAAAAAACGTGACAGGTCTGACATATACTTTGATAGTAAATATTTGAAGATCCAATTTACGTGACATCAAGTTAAATCCATGTGCCCCATTGATCGGCCTAAGTGGAACTATTTACTCTAGCTTCCACATGATTACATATATTATATGGTTGAATGATGTGTTGTGAGGAGGTTGGATAATTCTAAATAGGTGGAATAAATGTGATCAACATAAGAAATACTTAAAAGTAAAACCAGCTTTACTCTAACTAAATAGGCCCATATCAGGTTTGTAAGGAATCCAACACAAAAATGATGACCAATTTGTACTGTAGGTGATGTTTAAGTCAGCAGGGGTATTTGAGGTCTGCTGTACATAAAATGTATTTTGTGTGGGTAAGGAGCCAATGATAGCAGTGCACAGCGCACTATTACCATGTATGAACTGTTCTCTTGTAGTGCTGTCAGAGAGGTATTAGACTGCCCGATACAGAGGGCTAGGGCACTTCCCCAGACAACAATATGAGAGTGACTGTTCTCGAGGGAGAGGGCAATAATAGATTTAGTGCATCACATGACTGTGCACATTGCAAACCTTGTCAGTGAACTCTTGGCATATTAATATACATTCTGTATATTTCCTTTTTTGTGACTTTGGCACAATGTCAAAAATTGGCCAATACAACTGTATATTTCAGTCAATTACACCAGGAAATAAAATTATATTTTGTACATGTCTTTTTTTCTTGAAATCTCTTCCTACATTGACCGAATTTCGTTTCCTGCTTCTGTCTTTGCCTTTTGTATATGCCTCCGCAAACAAAGCAAATTTTCCATTCTGGAGCTGGTTGTTGACACTATGTCAGAACACAACATTGAAGTGAAGTGAAAGTAGATGTCAGAACACAGTGTTTTAATCTTTCTTTTTTTTTGTATTTTTCATAAATGATTTTCATAATATTTGAACAAATATCTTCTGTTTACATATACCAAATGCAACATAAATTTGAACATTTGTGTCATAACTATATGAACAGATTTATAGGATACCTTCAAAAATCATTATAAAATTGTACAGAAAAGAAGTGCATTTAATATGTATTACATTATTATATATATAATGAATGCACTTCTATATATCTGTTCATAGTTATGAAACAAATGTTTAAATTTATATTGCATTTTGAAATAGAAAAAATGCTTATGTCAGTGTCTGAGGCAGTTAATAAAGCTAATATCCATCAAATTCCTGCTTTTTCTTCTTTTTGTGAATTATAAAAAAGAATTTAGTTACTTTGAATCTTAATCAGCAGTTGTGGCTTTAATTTATACCTGTTTATCATGATCATTTGCATATGTTTTTCATAAACGTGTCATGATCAGAAAACAGAATCATATAGTGCCAACTAGATCTATGTAAATATTACGTTTGCATTATTGGGAACCATGCCAACAGGGTATGGCACTGTGCTTGTTATTTCCTAGGTCAGTGATTACCTATAATGGTGTGCTCTGATCACTTTCGCGAGTGTTAAACTATCCTACTACAGTGTATTTACTTTATAGTGACTATTGATCAGTGGTCTATTGCTTTATGACCTATAGCTATAGGACCTTTTTCTAAAACAAATATCAAGGTTGTGGTTAATAGGATAATTTTGGTCATGAATACTGGTATCTGAAAGGAACATATTTTGCCTCTTGGATTTCACTGGGCAAAGGATATGCAAATCACCTTTTGACACATTCAAATTAAAAAATATTTGGATAGTATATAGGCAGGGTAAAAATAGCTTCAAACTGCCAGGGAACACTGAACATCACAGGGTATATATATAGTGTTGTTCTGATTTTTTTCCAGAGATCAAGGTATATATATTAGAACATGATCTAGATTACTTCAAACTTTATAAGATTTTTAATATTTAGAGAAAGAATGTAGGATAGAGAAGTATTTTTTAATTCATTTTAGTTGTTTTAAATCAATGGAGTGCTGTATCTTCACTCTGATCGTTGAACAAGAATGGCATGAAGGCTAATTACTGACTTAGATATGACAGGGCCTGGAACAGGTGTAGTCATGGTTCGTCGGCATAAATAAAAAGAACTTTTAAAGTTTACGTGCGTCTGGTTGGTAGAAGGACTCTTGACTCATATATGCTTCCCTTTTTATATTATAGTTGGTGAAAAGACGTGTCCAGAAGGTTTGATGTGGTAAGTATTCTTCTTTCTAATCAAGGATCCCAGTACCACTGCCAAAAACTGTATAACTATATATATATATATGCATTTGACGCTGTTTTTCCAGCATGACTATAGTTTTGATTCATCACTTCTGGAAAGAATATCATATATCAGTATATAGCTTTTGGGCTAAGGACTATTATGAAAAAATAATAACGATGAAAAAGTTATTAACGATGAAAAAGTTATTCCAAAATATAATCCACATCATGGTTACTAGTCTGAATGTTAAGATTCAGCAAGGCTATATCTGGATTCCAACCCTGGACTTCAGGTCATTATAATATCACTCTTTCCGACTGATCAGCTAGTTAACAGGAGTGTCCTGGTTAAGTTGTGTTACAGTTATATTCAAAACAAAATTAATGGGACGTTACAGTATATGAAAAATCACAGTACAATGTATCAGGGATCCTTTACTGATTACTATACAGTTACTGTAGGAGGGATGTGACAGGGATCCTTTACTAATTACTGTACAGTTACTGTACAGTTACTGTAGGAAGGATGTGATGGATCCTTTTCTGATTACTGTACAGTTACTATAGGAGGGATGTGACAGGGGTCATTCACTGATTACTGTACAGTTACTATAGGAGGGATGTGACAGGGATTCTTTACTGATTACTGTACAGTTACTATAGGAGGGATGTGACAGGGATCCTTTACTAATTACTGTACAGTTACTGTACAGTTACTGTAGGAAGTATGTGATGGATCCTTTACTGATTACTATACAGTTACTGTAGGAGGGATGGGACAGGGATCCTTTACTGATCACTGTACAGTTACTGTACAGTTACTGTAGTAGGGATGTGACAGGGATCCTTTACTGATCACTGTACAGTTACTGTACAGTTACTGTACAGTTACTGTAGTAGGGATGTGACAGGGATCCTTTGCTGATTACTGTACAGTTACCGTAGGAGGGATGTGACAGGAATCCTTCACTGATTACTGTACAGTACCTGTAGGAGGGATGTGACACGGATCCTTTACTGATTACTCTACAGTTACTGTAGGAGGGATGCGACAGGTATCATTCACTGATTACTTTACAGTAACTGTAGGAGGGATGTGACACGGATCCTTTACTGATTACTGTACAGTTACTGTAGGAGGGAAGCATATCGTAACTTATTTTTGTTGTTTTAATGACAGATGATAGTATGTGTATACGTATATGAACATACATTGTATTGCTGATTTTTAAAAATTAAATAATTAAACTTTATGTGCATCTAACAATTTCTCATGCTAGCCAGTTGTCACACTTTGTTTGTTTGTTTGTTTGATTTTGTTTAACGTCCTATTAACAGCTAAGGTCATTTAAGGACGGCCTCCCCTGGGTGCAAGATGCATGCGTGTAGTGTATGTGTGTGTATTTTGGGAGGCTGCGATATGTTCGTGTTTGTCTCCTTGTGATAGCGCGAAACTGATGCCGACTTTATAGTGCTACCTCACTGAAACATTCTGCCGAAGACACCCAGCNGTCACACACATATATATATATACATGTACAAGCAGCTAAGACCAGATGGGTTATATACATATTCTAAATTGAAATGGCCTATGATATTTAATAACATTACATAGAGTTATTTTAAAAACAAAAGCTCTGCTGATGCTCACTTCGTTGAAAATCTGAAAAGTGTTGTGTAGTTCAAACTTAGTAATATTGAAACAGATACAAATTAGGAAGGGAGCTTTTAAACACTTGCTTATTATATGCATTTATAAAAGCAGGTTCTATGTGCCCAGATTATAGGTAGGGGCCAGATACCATCATTGTATAAAAGTAGACGTTACATGAAGGTAGAATTAACCCATCCTTCAGTTAATTAATATGTCAGATGGCACATCACTTTCTTTACATTCAATGCTCTCACTTAGCTGATGTAAAAGTTTGAATCACTTCAGAAGGTTTATGTAGAGTTTCATATAATTTGTTAACCACTGTTAATTACCTGTAAATTTAATGTATTTTAATGTGTTATTTAGGTAGTATTACAGCAGTTTGTTGGTTTCCCTCAAGACCAACAAACTTCCCATTCAGGGTCTTTACAGCCAGAAACTAGTAGGCATCCTCGATACTCCAGGGGTTCGTATACGCTCACTTTCGCTTTCTGCACCCCTGAAATATGCCTTAGCAAAAACGAAGGCTCGGTGTGCAACAGGTTGCAACTAGATTGATTCTTTGATGAACATCAAAAGAATCTGTCAGTCACATAACATAACAGTAAAATTAACTGGCTTTGAAATCGAGAGTCCCTCTTCTGTAATCTTCAAAGGACAGGTATTAGCCTAGCGATTGGTCAGGATGTTTTACCTGACACAAACAGCTAGCTTCAACTGCGTGCCTTCAATTGTTTTTTTATGACATATTCCAGGGGTGCGGAAAAAGAAAGTGAGCGTTACGTAACCCCTGGATTATTGAGAAGGTAGTGCCTCTACGGCAGTCGCCACTGCTGGCAGGTTAACGTTTTGGTGATAAACATTAGTGTTCAGAGTTGGATTTGATTCTGCTGGAGTTAGCTCCTTTGATCATTGCTTCGTCTCTTCTGGTGGTTCAGATTGCAAATTGACTGTTGGAATTCAGTGGAGCCATCATGTCTCCCTGGTCCTCTCATGTCAACGGACTCATTTTGGAAGCTTCATCTTTAGACTTTGCATTGTCTTCCTATAAGGTTTAGTTTGAGGATGTATAAGCTGAAGTGGTTATGTTCAACATCCCTATTATTGGTGTGGATTGTACCAAGATTCTTAGGGGGAGGGAACAATCTGCCCACCTTCAGATTCTGCGTCATTTGCTCGATAGGCCCAGCTGCTGTGACTAAGCCTAGTTTAGTTCCTCATTCACTTCTACCCTTTGACACAACCCTAGCTGTCATTGTCCAGGCAGGTCATCGATTCCTCAGGGTCAGGCCCTTCTATTCTCCGATCAGATCTGGCTCCAGATTTACAAGAAGGCAGGTAGTCGTCAATTCCAAATTATTGTTATTGTTATGATGTCAAGAAATAATCCAAGACAGCTTGATCTACATTGTAGCTGGTAGTATTAGAAGGTTTGTGGTTACCAAAGGAGAAAGAACAGACTAAGCTCCTGAATGGTATACTCTAGAATATTTTGATGTCAGATTGCACTCCCGGCTTATAGTCACCCTGAAGTTTGGGATGTGGTGTATGATGATAGATTTCCTAAGTGCTTTCAACAACCATGTAGACTCGTCTCACTACAAGATACCCTTATACAGTTTCATTGTCTGCATGTATATCGGAAACAGGATGTGGGTTGCCTGGGTATATTTTTAACATTAATTATAAAATTATTCTTTTCACATATGACACATTCATTGAGCAAATGATAATTTTTTGAATTTCAGAAATTGCTTGATTTATATTTCATGTGAAAACTTGCATGCTCCAGTCAATCATTGATTGATAACCTTATACCAATACAAATTCAACACAGGAAATGTTGATGATTATCACCAACGTTTTCAAACCTTACGGCCATCTTCAGGCGAAATACAACAAATACAAGTGACAAAGGAAGACATTTGCATGGTATTACTCATGTTCTGTCCTGGCCTCAAACTCACAACCCAAAGCACTTTCATTTTATATTTTTCGTTCAATTTATAGAACAAAAGAATTATTCTCATCATCATTATATACGGTAAGTTTCATTGATAAAAAATTGTGTTTACATCAAAATGTCAATTTTGTTAAGATCGAAGCTTAGGTTTGGAAGTTAGTACTATTTCTCAGGAATAACTTCAGGGATTTTTCTCAAATTTGATATGTAGGTTCCCCTTGATCCCTTGTTGTGCATGTTATATTTTTAAACCGATCATAAAAACAAAATGGCTTAAAGAAGAACTAAACAGATCTTTCTCATATTGCAATGATCGATTCTACTTCTTTCACGTTAAGTACTGTACTAGTAAATATGTGAAATGACAAACTCACTTTGAAGGTTGTCTTTCATACACATCAGTATTAAATTTAGATCAAAAAAAATCTCAATGTGCATTTACTGTTAGCATGACTCGATCAAACAGATTAGAGAAAAGGAGAGAAAAGATCGAACTGACAAAGAACTAATATTAATGAAGATGGTACAATGGTGGGCACCAAGATCCCTCTGGGATCTCTTGTTTTTTTACCCAATACCTTTGATTGTGTTTTATTATTACATACACCAGTATATGAGTAATTAGTAAGACTGTCTGTGACCAGAAATGCTGAACTGTTCAGAATATTGATATATAATACTTAAATAGTTTTTATCTATTTTTACTCCTACTTAAGAACACTTATATTTATCACACATTCAAATAAAAATAAAAAGTAAATCTGGCTGATCACCAACACATACGTCTTTCATGAAACCATCTGTCATAGCCAGCATCACAAGATTCCATGCATGTCATCAAGGACATTGTACATCTGCTTCACAATCAATAAAAATGTCAAAGGATTTAGAAGACTTCGTTCTTCCTTTTCCTATTCTTGTTGATTTTCCTCTTTTAAGTAAATCAAAGATTCCATTTGAAAGACACTCAATAAGTTGTTGTCTTATGTTAGAAGTTTCTAACTTATCATTTCCTTATAAATTCATTGAAACCAAATTCCACCAATTTGATAAAAGCAAAATCCACATGAACAACCCCATTTGTCTTTTGTTGCACTTTAAATCAATGATCTTTTTGAAACTTTGCTATTTCTGCATTTTAAACTAGCTGACAATGGACTTTTCATTCAAATTCATAATTAGAATAATAATGAACCTATCAGAAATGTACCAGTCAGGTGAAAGGGACTTAATTTTGTATCAGCGGTGGGTCTGACCCCCCTGGGGGCAGTGGGGTGGGGCCCAATAGGGGAAACATTGCAAATTCTTCAAAATCCTGCTTTTTTTGTAGGAATGACAGGATTTTGTCCAATTGCATATAAATATAACCACTGACTTACCATGTAATACATGTATGTACACTACTAGCAACATCTGGCTATTTCAACTTCAATTTTGCTTACATTTCCAGGTCAGCGATACAGGCCCTCTAGGCCTCTTGTTTGAACTGTATATAGAATCATTCAATATATAGTCTTTTGTCAAACTACCATGTATATGTACAGCAACAGTTTATAAATACTAAAGGAAAAGTCTGAGACGAATAGTTTTAACCTTTATATGACTCACTGATGTTATTTAAGGATTGAATTCTGTTTTGTTGAGGTTTATGGGGTATACACCTCAATGGGTCTTGAGACAAATTTTATGAACTGCAAAGCAGTTCATTTTGAATTTGTCTCAAGACCCATTGAGGTTTATACCCCATAAACCTCAACAAAATGGGATTCTATCCTTATATTTACATTCAGATAGATATTGATACTTGTTCGGATAATTTCTAAAATATCGGTCTTGTGCAAGTTTAACACCATGGAAGGTATCAAAACTTATGACGTCATAACTCACTGTGAGATGTCGTCCTGGTAAGATGAATAAGCAAATTAAGATGAAAATTAGTTTTTGAATTCAATTGAATACTTCTGACAAAATTAATAGATATATAAAAAAATATAAGAATGGAACTACTTCCCGCGCTCCGCGGAATAACAGAGTAATCAGGTTGATAATATGCTGATGTATTCATACGCCAACTGAAAAGTTCATTGAAAAATAACCTTTAAAATGTTAAGTAGGTATATTGAGTCCAAGTTCAGTAGAAATGGAAATATTTAATATTGTTTCTGGTTACCTCAGTTGTTGTTAGGGTCCAAATATAACGATATATCTGTGGAATTAGGGCTGGAGTGTGTGGCAACTTAACTCATCTGTCTAAATTGTTCTTTAAATTTATATTCCACCAGCTGTATATTGTAGGGGACGACAGATGTGATAGGTTCTGCTTTCCAGTTCACGTTGTTTTTACTGACATCACTAGATGTTATGATAAAGACACATGACAAGGTTTATTACACTGTTATTAGGGCTAAAATATGTCATTACATATACTGTGTACCTGCTTTCCAGTTCACGTTGTTTTTACTGACATCACTAGATGTTATGATAAAGACACATGACAAGGTTTATTACACTGTAATAAGGGCTAACATATGTCGTTACATATACTGTGTACCTGCAGCATCCCAACGGTCGCTGTAAGTACCTGTATCTTTCCTGATGCTATATATATATAGAAGGCATGTATCTAAAAAGCATCAATGACATGTTAAGAATAGAGCCAAGATTCTTCACAATGATATATATATATGTATTGCTGTCTGAAAATGGGATGAAAATGAACACAATAACACAATAAAAAAATCTAAGGTAATATGCTGGGTTTCTGTACAACCTAGGTTTCTTGCTTACTCAGCTTTTAGCTCATTATAAGAATATGATAGATTGATTTACTGCATCAATGACTTGCGGCACTCACAATATCATTGCAATGGAAACAAATATAAACAAATTACAGTTAGCATACCGGTATGCCTAATTGTGTTAGCATAATATTTTTAAGTGGTAAATCAAGATTACCTCTTGGACGTTACAAATGTACATTGCAAGCACATAGGATACATTTATAACAGGATGGGGCATTATCTCTCTCCAGATAATCAGTCATTTTTGGTATGTTTTATACTATTTCTCCTTCAGTAACCTGGTATTTAGTGAACTACATTGTATCTTGTGACCAGCAATCAACCCATTCACAATCCCTTACATATGTTTGTATACATATGTATAGGTTGTTTTTAGGAACACAGCTTGAATTTTGCCAGAAAATCTTGCTTCTTTGATTACAGGTTTATAGATCAAAGTTCCTGGTTTTACCATCAATGATTAATGTCATTCCTATAAGGTGGACATGCATTCTCTCTCCCTGCCTCGCTTATCACAGCTGGTATGGAGTGCGTGATAAACAGCAGGGTGAGATTACTTCTGGGATCTGAGCACAGAATAAACTCTCACTGTTCTTAAGTCAAAATTACAGCATGAATTATCTGTGTACTTATAGATCAATGTATATTTATATATAATTACTGAAAAACCTGTCAGACATGTAGATCTGGCAATGTTTATGGTTAAGCAGTGTCTGTTTTGCTTTAATGTATTGGTGTCTGTATATTGTCTGCTATGCTTTTACATTGTATTACTTCTTCTGTCTGTCTATTGAATAGTTATTATTTTGGCTCAATCATAGGTAAACTTCATATAGTGCTTCTTTACTGGAAATCAGGCATTACTTGAGATTGCTTTTAAGGTCTGATGATCAAGGTCAAGTTCACTGTTACAATAGCTTGAGTTCTCTTTGGTCATTCAAACTTTCATAAAGGTCAAGGTCACTGTTAAATCAAATAAGAAAAAGTTCCCATTCAGACCAATCACACTAAACTTTATACACTTCTATCTGATGGAAAGCTTCTGCATGTGATTGGTTTTCAGGTCTGGAGGTCAAAGATCAGTCATTATATTGGTACAATAATAGAAAACTGGTTTCCACATAATTGCTCTAGTTTCTGTTAGACTTATAATACTCAAACTTCTTACGTCTGCTTTTCACCATAAAATGTTTGCTTGGGATCAATTTTCAGGTTGGAAGGTCAGTGTCCAGGTCAATAATACTGTGAATAGAAAACTTTTCTGCACATTCAGCATCAGATGTTTAACAGATATGTTTAAATCTTAACAATCTTTTCTAATAGTCCTCTAATTTACTCTATTTATGATATTTGGCCAGTAGTTTTAATTGATGGAATGAATTTCAACAACTTCATCTAAAGGTCCTCTAATCCTGCAGTTATGATGTTCACCTGTAGCTTGTGCAGATGAAGTCAGTCACATTTGTTAAGATAAATGACCTTGACCCACTTTCAATTTTTTAACACAAGTTTCTCTGAGAGCAGTGATTTTTAGTTTGAATTTGCTGGAATGATAAGCTGTCAAGTTTGTTCAGATAAAGTATCTGTACTTTGACCCAATTTGAAGGTCACTTGAGTAAAATTAGTGTGAATCTTCCAACAACGAGTCTTAGGTGAGGAGTAGTACCTAGTATGTGGCTTAAGTTTGTATCATACTGTAGGCTTTCTCACTCCACTGCATCAAGTTTGCTGAATGACCTTGACCATTCAAAAGTATTAATACCTATAGTTTTTTCTCAGAAATAATTGGAAGGAAGGGGAAGTATGGAGAGTTTGGTTTGAAAATCGTTAATCATACAGTCACAAATATGTTTTCTATTTCAGATCCTGATTCATTGAAGAACTAAACAAGCAAGACATTCTCCAAAACCTGAGGAAACATGGGTAGTTTTGGAGGTCACACCCTTCCAGGATCATTCTTCATCCTGTTTGCATTATGGTGGACAGTTCAGATGTTTCATAGATACTATAGTTGTCGTCAAAGAAATGCACGCTTTCTTTCCACAGCAACATATCCCTGTGCATGTCTCTGTGGGAAATTGGCAGAATGGCCATTGGAACCAGTGGTGAAATTATTCTTTGTTACCGTCGGTTTTAGTTTAGAAATATATACCGGTTTTAACGATGGAAAGTTCACAGCTCTTGGAAATGGACAACATGCCACTATGTTCTTCTTTTTTGGACTGACAGGTGTCATGGATTTGTTGCTATACTTCAAAGCTCCAGTGCCTAAAGACATTGATTATGTTACTATGTGGTTGGCTGTGTTAGTGGAGGGCATCCTCTTTAAGTTCCACCTACATGGCAGGAATGAACTGGATGTCCTCCTTCACACACTCCTCATTTACACTATTGGCGCCAACTTGCTGACACTCACAGCAGAGATGAAGTGGAGGAACAATATTCTCATCGCATTGGCACGAACCTATTTCATTTTCTTACAAGGAACATGGTTTTGGCAGGTGGCTTTTATCCTTTACAATCCGTCACCTGCTGCAGAAGAGTGGAATCCAGAGGACCACGATTCATTGATGATAGCGACAATGTTCTTTACCTGGCATTGTGGTGCTGTTTTCTTAACAATGCTAGCAATAGGAGGCTTCGTGGCATGTTTTCATAAAAGATTTAAAGATTTCAATGAAAATGAAATGGCAATGAAACGGTTGATACATACAGGTGCCAATGGACAGACTCTGATCAGTATGAACGACGATAGTGACAGTGAGATAGAGTTCCAGAAGTCTGCAGTGGGTCAATAGGACTTGCAAACCCAGTTACAACTTGTTGTTGTGGACACCAGCAGCACTTGCTTGCAAAGTTGTGTTCAATCTGAATCAATATCTATCCAGTTTATTTATATGTCAAGTTGACAGGTGTTTTGATGTTTATGTGAACAACATTGCCGCCTTGTTATGTTCAAGAAACGAAGCTGATTGAGGCCTTATCATGTGTCGGTATATCTAGACTGACCTGTCAGTGCTTGTCCTTCATCTTTGTTGGGACTCAAAGCCAACAGATGCGACTTCTGCACCAGGTTAGGTCAAAACTGTGTTTTCAAGCTACCAATCAGGATGATTTCCCTAAGGTATGCACTCAAGAGTCCCAAATCATATATTGCATTCCAGGAACACAGAGCAAGGACAAGGAGCAATGTGACTGACTACTGGTTCCAATCCTGTCTCACACTTCTACCATGTTTACAAGATGTGTGTTTAATATACATCTGGAACACTCCTATGAGTATGTGTCCCACAGTCAGTCATCTTTACTGTTATTGCATCAGACAACGATGTTACAATATCATATCACAAAATTGAAAGCCTATCGAAATGTTTTTGACCGACAATTGTCATAGTGTCGCCTGGCAACTGACGTCAACCTAAGAAATAATCATTCGTGTATATGTACAAGCTTACTCTGAAGGTCTCCTTTATGTTTGAGCTATAATTATGATATATCATACTTTTTCTGCTCTTTTCAAATATGTTATTAGTTTATATGTTTATTATACAGAAATTGTGCTCTATATGTACTGTATAATTTGCATCTCTGATGTCATGAATTAACAAAATATAGGATAAGAGGTGGGAGAAAACTCTTTGGTGAAGAATTTCTCTATTTCTCAAAAAGAAAATTATCGGTAAGAAAAAAGAGAAACACATAGAAAATGAGGCTCAAATTTTTCTGATTTGAATAAGAAACTTCTTTTTTTGACCAATATTTATGGAAAAATTCTCCTGCTCAAACCAATATTCTGTGCTCAAACCCTATTCCTTGTTTTAGGGTTAAATTTTCAAGTTCAACATTTTTCCAGTGATTTGCAGGAACTTTAGAGAGAATTGAATCCAAATAGCATGTTCAGTCATGTACCAACGTTTTGGCTGAGTCCAACAATTTCCCTTGAGTTAAGAAAAGATCATGAAACCATTTTCATTATCCAGCATGCATTTTGTTATGTGCTTGGTTAAATTCATGTCACAGGATCAAAAATTCAAATTCAAACAAAACGAGTTTTGGCTTAATATCTCCTCAATGTCGTCCATATGATTGATAAAATGTCAGTTTCATTAATTTATCACCAGAAAAAAACGGCTTGAGCACAGAATCTGAGTTGGAGCATGAAAACTGTTTCATGAATGCGAGCCCAGAATCTGTGTAACAGCATGAGAATGGTTTCACGAATATAGGCCTTGGTAAGTTAATTTATGACAATTCCATTTTACCTGATGTACCTTCGGTATCACGGTTGTCTGTCCAGATCAATTTTAAGTTTTAGCATGCCATAAAACAGGTTTGAAATGAAAATCATAACATGAAAGTATTCTGCCTTTTCTCCAGATTTTCCGTGCAAGTAAACAGATATGAGAATTTATTTCCTGTTGTCCATGCTTGGGTTCAACGGATTCCCTGCCAAATATTTCAATGACACAAATGTAGTCCCATGCGATGCTTATTGTATCGATATAAATATATTGAAAACTTGCTACAATTCATAAACCGGTACGTACATGAATTTTATTTCACAATATAATAATCTCAGTATGATGTCAATTTTTTCTCCCTGTGTCGAACGTTTACTTGGATTTATAGTACTGGTACTGTAGTTCAACTTTCAACCTATTTCTATAGATGTTTCCCTACTTTTCCCTTCAACAGCCCCCCATATAATGTCCTTTATTTGCTGGACAAATGAATGATGGCAATGTAAGTAGATCGTTATAAATGAATTAGTGTTGTGTGCTTAAACTTTGTAACATTTTCTAAAATCTGAAAAAACGGACAAATTTAACAAATTAAATTGCTTATGGTGAGTTAGCGCAGCACATATACACTCTAATTGGTTTTGAAGTTAAGGCACTGTCATATACACGTGTAGTTTTTATTCATATTTGTATTTTATTTATTGGTTCCCCTCTGGTACTACCAAAGGGGACCAGGTTTGTACTGTCTGTTCATCAGTCAGTCGGACCCCACTACGTACTGTACGGGTTTATGTCGTTTTGTTCACCCTGAATCACTTTTTGGGTGTATATCTCTTAAATCATGTCGCCTACAGTCACACATAATTTGAACCTAAGTGTGTACCTCTTGCTAAGGAAGAATGTCATGTCCTGAAATCTGCTCTTTATACAGATCCAAATTACCAATAATGGCCCTTTGTTACCTTGTTTGAAAACATGTATAATATTTATTCACACACAACCTAGGCCATTAGGTCAAATAGAAAAAGCATGGCAATTTGAGATAATTTATTGTTGATGAATACATATTAGAGAAACCAGGTATGCCATATAAACAGTCCTAGAAGTAATACATGATAATTATAATGATAGATGTAGTTGTTTGTGACTGTTTAGCTGAGATACAGACCCGTACACGTTCGCTGTTCCACCTTGGACGCAAACGGTACAGAAGTGCTACGCAAACGGTACGGAAGTGCTACGCAAATGGTACAGAAATGGTATGCAAGTGTTACGCAAACGGTACGGAAATGCTACGCAAACGGTACGCTGAAAGTGGAACGGGTCTGTACTGTAGATTGAAATATTGTAAATGTAATAAGATAAAGAATATGCAGTATCAATACATAGAAGTTGTTAGATAAACAGTACTGTCTATAGGGAGAGATGATGCATGGATATAGTTTGAAAATATCTGGAGTCCTAGTTCTTAGAATAACTGTATTCATTATAACCTGTAGCTTAAGTAGTTTTTGTAAATCTTCTAGTGGTCAAATGAGTTTTGTGCAGCTGACAGCCTGCCAAATCACTATATAGTATTGTTAATACCTCAGAACCAAGTATGTTTTAATAATACAAGAATGTCATATTTATAAATAATACAGGTAGGACATATGTATAAATAGTACAGGTATGTCATATGTGTAAATACAGGTAGATCATATAATACAGGTGTGTAAGGGTAGACAACTGAATAAATATTACAAAGCACCTGTTGATCATGTATGTTGTTATACAGCATATATAGGACAGATACATTTCAATTAAATTTATAATTTATAATATCATCTGATACACTTAAAAACCAATAGGAAAAATTCACTCAAAATCTGATGCCAGATTTGAAATTTATAAACACCCCATTTTGGCTTTGACAAACAAATTCTAACCATATCAAAATCTCCAATTATCACAGGTTTAATGAATAAGTTACTGACATACATATAGACTCCAGCTGTGTCCAACAGCTCCATTGTCGTACAATGTAGCTCTCGTCTCTTTAACCCTTCTACCCCTATGTCACTTTAATAGACTCTAGCTACCATGCATTGATCTAGATGAGTCCATTATAGTCTACAGTATAGTGAAAGGGTTAATGCTTACCAATTACACAGAAAGAGAACTATATTGAAAATGGAACTGATTAGCTGTACATTGATACAGTTATTCATAATAATAATATAATAATTTTATTTTTTTCAGAGTATACAATATAAATTTAGCTGGTTGACATATCAAACAAGTTTTATAGAGTATATCATGTATAATTTTTGATTGGAGAAATTGATGACGATTTTAAAATCACATTTAGAACTATATGTTGGTTATTTGTTCAGAACAAATTGTACTGTATTTATATCACTTGATTATCTTTATGATATATTGTATAGGTATAATCTCTAGTAACTTACACAACATTATAAAGCATCTGATATGTTACTATTTTAACACATTATATAGGTATAATCTTAAGTAACTTATTATTCAAGGTTATATATTATATAGTATCTGATCTGTAGCATTTTAATACATTCTCAAAAAACTTACTCTAAGGTACACAACATTGTACAGTACAGCATCTAATCTGTTTTTATACATTACATAGGTATGGTCTCAAAAAACTTACTCAAAGTTACACAACATTATACAGTATAGCATCCAATCTGTTATTATACATTACATAGGTATGGTCTCAAAAAACTTACTCTAAGTTACACAACATTATACAGTATAGAATCCAATCTGTTATTATACATTACATAGGTATGGTCTCAAATGCTGTAACTTTGAGTAAGTTTTTTGAGACCATACCTATCTAATCTGTTTTTATACATTACATAGGTATGGTCTCAAAAAACTTACTCAAAGTTATATCATATATAGCATCTGATCTGTAATACTTTAATGCATTGCATAGGTATAGTGTTAAAGAAATTACTCCGTGGTACTTAACATTGAATGGATGATACGTACATTGAATGGATGATACGTACATTCGAGAGAGCAGCCATTCTTGATCAGCACACACACGCTCACACAGGTACTAAAGGGGATTGTGTGTGTGCTGGGGGTACCATTGTATTGGTACAGCCATCTTACCACACAATCCCTTTAGTACCTGTGTGATGGTGTATGTGTGCTGGGGGTACCATTGTATAGGTGTAATGGTACAGCCATCTTACCACACAATCCCTTTAGTACCTGTGTGATGGTGTTTGTGTGCTGGGGGTACCATTGTATTGGTGTAGTGGTACAGCCATCTTACCACACAATCCCCTTTAGTACCTGTGTGATGGTGTTTGTGTGCTGGGGGTACCATTGTATTGGTGTAGTGGTACAGCCATCTTACCACACAATCCCCTTTAGTACCTGTGTGATGGTGTTTGTGTGCTGGGGGTACCATTGTATTGGTACAGCCATCTTACCACACAATCCCTTTAGTACCTGTGTGATGGTGTTTGTGTGCTGGGGGTACCATTGTATTGGTGTAGTGGTACAGCCATCTTACCACACAATCCCCTTTAGTACCTGTGTGATGGTGTTTGTGTGCTGGGGGTACCATTGTATTGGTACAGCCATCTTACCACACAATCCCTTTAGTACCTGTGTGATGGTGTTTGTGTGCTGGGGGTACCATTGTATTGGTGTAGTGGTACAGCCATCTTACCACACAATCCCCTTTAGTACCTGTGTGATGGTGTTTGTGTGCTGGGGGTACCATTGTATTGGTACAGCCATCTTACCACACAATCCCTTTAGTACCTGTGTGATGGTGTTTGTGTGCTGGGGGTACCATTGTATTGGTGTAGTGGTACAGCCATCTTACCACACAATCCCCTTTAGTACCTGTGTGATGGTGTTTGTGTGCTGGGGGTACCATTGTATTGGTACAGCCATCTTACCACACAATCCCTTTAGTACCTGTGTGATGGTGTTTGTGTGCTGGGGGTACCATTGTATTGGTGTAGTGGTACAGCCATCTTACCACACAATCCCCTTTAGTACCTGTGTGATGGTGTTTGTGTGCTGGGGGTACCATTGTATTGGTACAGCCATCTTACCACACAATCCCTTTAGTACCTGTGTGATGGTGTTTGTGTGCTGGGGGTACCATTGTATTGGTGTAGTGGTACAGCCATCTTACCACACAATCCCCTTTAGTACCTGTGTGATGGTGTTTGTGTGCTGGGGGTACCATTGTATTGTTGTAGTGGTACAGCCATCTTACCACACAATCCCTTTAGTATCTGTGTGATGGTGTTTGTGTGCTGGGGGTACCATTGTATTGGTACAGCCATCTTACCATACAATCCCTTTAGTACCTGTGTGATGGTGTTTGTGTGTTGGGGGTACCATTGTATAGGTGTAATGGTACAGCCATCTTACCACACAATCCTCTTTAGTACCTGTGTGAGTGTGTGTGTGTGTGCTGGGGGTACCACTGTAATGGTGTAATGGTATAGCCTTGCTCAGTACATTTTACTGAACATTTCTATGTCACACCCTCAGGGTAGGGGAAGATGCTATTAATCTTGAATCATAAGTTATTTCGTTTTATGTTATGATTTAAAAATCACAGATCTGTTTTGTTATATTCATTTTGTTTGTCTTTTTTACAAAGATTGAGGTTTTAGTTGAGGATGTGTTTAATGCAGTTATAAGCCATATCAAATTGTATAGTTATGAGAAAAAACAGGAACAGAAAAAAATGGTTGTTATATTTTCGTAATTGCATTAAAGTTGTTTTGTGACATCTAAGGGACCAATGTTTTTTCAATTGTTATCATTTGTCAAAAGGGTATTTATTACAAGTGTTTTAAGTCATGATTTCTGTTGGAATTTTTTGAACTGTATATACATGTAGGTATATTGTGCAGACAAGAATTTTCAGAAGTCATGTTCCTCCAGTAGAAATTGATGTGATAATGATGGAACATATATATTTTAAAGCTTCATCAAGAATTCTGTGCTACAATGTATTATGTTTCTGTAGATACAGCCTACAGGTATAGGCTCCCAGGTATGTGCAGTAATTCCTATTTATTTAAACTCTTTGATCAAGAGCCTATGAATTAAGGAAACTCTTGCAAATAGTTTTTTAGAGTGCACGACTCCTATTTGACCAACTGAACAATTTTGTTATTTAATTTGTACAATATCTAATGCACGATGCCATCCCTTTCATATATTTTTATCAAGTTTTTCCATTACATGTCCGTAGTAGGTATTTCTGGCATTTTAAACATCAGTCTTTCAAATATGATCTCTCCAGATTTGTGTAATATGATGGGATGGAATTCTTCCCTTGTGTGTTAATACTTATACTTCACCTCACCTCACCTCAGAAAGATAATAGAGGATTAACATAACAGTACATATAGGGTCTTACACAAGTTTGGAAATTAAATTAATGTCCCATTCATTATACGATAAAAACTTTTTGACATATTCATCCTCTCTTTATATTTATTGTCTTCATTGTGAATAAAACCAATATAAAATATAAGCATTACAATTTTGTAGACCGATTCTTAGTTTTTATGTAATTTTACTGCTTTTCTATCTATAATAACTATGTTACCTGTTTAATTAAGATCTGGTACTAATGAACATTATGTTATTTAGAAAAAAGTCCAATCCGCCCGTATATGTCCCGACTACATGTATAATGTACTGGGTATCTTGTTGTTAATCACATATTTTTTTTAAAGAAGTCATAGATAAGAATGTGTGAACAGCTGGTGTATTTTCTAGCCTAGATTATACATTGTGTGTGTACAGCTGTCGGAGATAATCAGAAGGAGAAGCACACAAGGCCCCTGAGGAGATCCCACCAATCTGTTCACAAATCTGTATACTTTATAATACACAAGCCATTTATGATGATGAGAGAATAAAAAAATGTTGATCGATTTTCATTTTATTTATACGCAAAACCAATGCAGCTAGCGTATGTATTATAACATTAAATTACCATACAGATTATGAAAATTTGATCTAAAACTTCTACAATTTGTGAAATAGAAATCCATATACCAAGCTCAAGTTTTCAGATTCTTAGCTGTAAGGGTTGTTCTTAGTCTGTATAGGGCTCAAATTACACACTTTTAAATATTAAACTATTGTACATGTATATTTTAATTTATATTCATTATTTTTTACAACACAGTCTGACTTTTGAGCTGTATCATTTGTGTTGAGTGATTATGTTTTAAGTGGATCTAGAGTTAAAAGATCTCACTTTTCTTCAAAATAGGTAGATATGTTTTATCATGCTGTCACAAATGTTTACAGAACTTTTACTCTGTTTCACTGTTATTTTTTCTATTGAAATCTCAATGTTTTATTTTAATTTGCCTCTATTTTTTTCACTGTATCTCAACTCTGATTGAATTGCATACAACTTCACTAGTTTATGATAATGTACATATATACAGATGTATAATGCTGATAAGATGTTATGACAATGGGTGATCCTTTGTAAAATTTCTAACATACCCTGAGGGGAAGCCAGCTGTTACATGTATATAACTAGCCGAAATTGAAATGGTTGCTCAAACTTCTTCAATATTTTAAAATAATAATCAAGCTTATGTAGGTGTTGCATTAATATACGTATCACTCAGGTATACAAAAATATAATACAAT